GTTTCTTTTCTTGAACTTCTCACCTGTGGAACTCCCTTCCGGTTATTTACTTCCCTGATAGCTACAAACTTCAAAAACATAAATACAACGTCAATCACCATCTTCTATTTTCTTGAATGCCGTTCAGGTTTTATCCTTTCCACAATCCTCTCTATACGCAGTCTTTTCCCTCACATTCACTCCCCTGTAAACCCCAGCGTGCCATGTTGGTGGTATTCCTGCTTGCATTGGGGGCTAAATTATATATTTTATATATATATATATATATATATATATATATATATATATATATTAAATAACAGTTTAAATGGGTGAAATTATAACCATGGAATATTAGTTTTGAGCCTTTATATTATATTCTTTCTCTGTCCTGGACATTGAGTTCTACCTGGATTCTATCCTCTTAGGAATTTATTTATATAAATATTTTTAAAATATATATATATATAATCTAAAACAGAATTGGAAAATTAATTTCTTTTTAATTCCATTTAAATTCCTATCAAACGTTAAAATCTGATTTTATCTAAATTGCTAAAGCTATACCACCCCACGTCTTCCTCCGAAAACCTTAAGTATATCACTTTTCTCCCCTTTACTTTCCCCTTTTTCTTTTCCCTTTTTCTCCTTTTCCTTTCCCCATATCATTTCCGTTGAGTTGACCGATTAAATAGGTCAATGTCTGACCCTTAACCCCTCCTTCCGCAATATTAAGTGTTATAATAAAAAGAAATATAAAAATACATTTTAAAACTCTCCCTTCCCTCTCCAAACTCGATCATGTCTCTCACACCATCCCTCGCTACCTTCTATGTCAACTTATATAAAAAATAATACTGCCCGTCAAAAGTGCAAATTTTAATTTTATTTTTCGTTTCACCTTCTGAAAGTGATGTCTGAAGATCCAGGGAAAAAATAAAAGTCTCTGGTGAAATAAATTATTACAATGGAGCATTAAAGTGGTCTGTTTTTCTTTAGTTTAAATATACATACATACATACATATATAGATAGATAGATAGATAGATAATATTAGTGGAAAATATACATACATATGCAAAATATATAAATACCCATACATGTATATTTTTAGAAAAAAAAATTTCCAAGAGGAAGAATCCAGAATATTTACGATTCCAATGGAATAAATTATGACCATGGAATATTAGTGTTTAAGCCTTTTATCACACACACACACATACATATATATATATATATATATATATATATATATATATATATATATATATATATATATATATACTATTACTAAATATAGACGTCTTCTTCAACCTTGACATGGTCGATAATATGGGAAAGAGCTGTTTACATGATAACGCCTTTCTTTAGTATCTTTTGGGGAAGAGCAAAGGTTGAGATGGATTCATGCCTTTTCCAGGGAATTTCGAGCGAAGTAAGCATGTGAAATCCTTCTTTCGTCCTTTTGAAATCCGGGTTTGCGACTAACTAAGACGAGAAGGCGTACTCGGTACTGCTATAGTCCAGTGATTGTCTACCTTTCTTGTCCAATGCACCCTATTTGCAATATGTCGGAATGTCACCCCTACTTTCCAAGATTGTCCGTCTCAAAATAATACGCTTATGTCATTATATATCTTTATTAATTTCTATAGATTAATTATTTTTATACAAGAGTGTTTTTTTACACTTATGATGGGCTACAACTTCTGTAAATAAAAAAGGTCAAAGCACCCCCCTTGAAATCCTGAAATTCCTCCCCTGGGGGAATTACTCCCTGTTTGACAACCCCTGTGCTATATCTATCTTTTTGACTGTAGTCTAAACTGATCCTACAAAATTTCTATTCCACATTAAACAACCCAAAAAAGCGTTGATACTTCATTAAATTCTACTTCTTCTGTGCCTCGTGTCCTTTCAGAAATTTGGCGATTATGGCTCTCCACGCTTCCCTGTTCTTTGTAGGTCTTAGTAAAGTTTATCTTTTTGTTATCTCTCCCAATCCTGTTTTGCCAAACATTTAAACAAACTCGTTAGTGATGTACTGCTTTTCTCTTGCTGTCTTCAATCTAACCTGTGAGTGTCAAATTTGCCGAACAGGCTGTACTCGTTATGGGCCCTAGAAATTTCAACTGTCTTTTTCTGATTCTAAGCATAAGTTTCCTTATTATTTGAATTTTGCCTAAAACTTTGTTGGTCAGTTGATTTTGTTTAACGGCATATCAACCATTAATTTGATTTTGTTTAACGGCATATTAACCATTAATTTGATTTTGTTTAACGGCATATCAACCATTAATTTGATTTTGTTTAACGGCATATCAACCATAATTTGATTTGTTTAACGGCATATCAACCATTAATTTGATTTTGTTTAACGGCATATTAACCATTAATTTGATTTTGTTTAACGGCATATCAACCATTAATTTGATTTTGTTTAACGGCATATCAACCATTAATTTGATTTTGTTTAACGGCATATTAACCATTAATTTGATTTTGTTTAACGGCTTATCAACCATTAATTTGATTTTGTTTAACTGCATATCAACCATAATGCCGAAATCTAAATATTTTATCTAAATAATTTTATGGCTTCAAGTAAATATATTTTGTACATAATTATATACTTTCAAGGTAAAGGTATGATTTTTAGGTATATATTTTGTAGATCATAAAATGTATTGTTGATATTTTTAATGTATTGCTGGTAATTTCTCAACAAAAAGCTATTACTGGTAATTTTACAATAAAGATGCATTTTTATACCTTTAGTGTTGTAATTTTGCTGTAAAAACTACATCCGACATCAAAGCATCTGGTCAGGTGATTGGAGTTTTTGATGAACGTGGAACCCCTGTCTTAATTGCTGTTGTTTCTAGATCCACCCTGATCGGGATGGTAGCACTTGTTAGGTTTCTAGTTAGGGGCAAATACTGACCCCCCCAAAAAAAATACAAAACATGAAAATATAAAAATACATTTTAATATTAGAAATACTAGCAATCCATTTTTATATAAAAAAATTTACCAACAATACATATTTATAGCAAAATTACCAACAGTACACACATACTAACAAATTGTAGCGACTTCGCCCAAATCTGTTTAAACTCCTAGTAAACAACAAACATTAACTCTTTCGTGATATTAATCCATATAATATCCGACAATTTCTTAAACTGTATTCCAAAATATAACTACAAAAAAAACTATAAAACTACAACATAAAAAACACATATCACCGCCTCTAGTAATCATATCCACACAAACATGTATATACACAAAAGCTAAGTATCATCTACCATGAATTCAACTGTGAAAGCAGAATAACATATATCATATTTTTATTATTTCCAAGCCCCCAAGAAAATTAAATTTCGGCATTAAATGACCCATGAAGTAGTTGATATACCGTTAAACAGACAAATCTAATCAATCAATTAATCATTTAGCTGTTAAATTAACTTAAAATAAATTAAAATAAATAATAATAATATCTTTTATTTCAATTTCAGTTGAGATTAACCCGATTTACAATTCGTCGCCGGGAAGAATCAATCTCAAATTCCACGTTGAAGAAATCACTGACTTCAGTGCGATATTAAATTGGCAGCCCCTCACTCAGCAGAAAGGCCAATATAGAGGAAACATCTCCATTGCGTATAGGGAAGCGGAAAACTTGGGAGATTGGGTCTGGAGCAAGTTTCTCAATGCTTCTACTGTCAATTACGTTTTAAGCTATCTTTTACCAGGACAAAAATACATTGCCAAAATGGCGTGGCAGGCGAAGGTGTTTGATATTGAAACTTCATTGGCCACGGCAGCGTTTAGTACGAAAGTAACACCAGGTAAGACACAATAGGCTACTCTCTCTCTCTATCTATCTATGAAAGATATGAAACACTCTCAGTCTCTCTACCAGTCTCTCTCTCACTCATTCTCTCGCTCTCTCTTCCTCGCTTTCTCGTTTTCTCTCTCGCTTTCTCCCTCTCCTTCTCGCTCTCTCTCTCTCTCTCTCACCTCTCTCTCTCTCTCTTTTTATCTCTCAGTCTCTCTTTCTCTCTCACTCGTTCTCTCTCGCTCACTCTCTTTCTCACTCTTGTCTCTCTATCAGTTTCTCTCTCACTCATTCCCTCGCTCTCTCGATCTCCCTCGCATTCTCGATTTCTCTCTCGCTTTCTCCCTCTCGCTTTCTCCCTCTCCCTTTCGCTCTCTCTATCACCCCCTCTCTCTCGCTTTCTCTCAGTCTCTCTTTCTCTCTCGTTTACTCTCCCACTCAATCTAGTTCAAGAGCCGTAAATCTTATAGTAATAGTTTCTTTTCTCGTACTTCTTGCTTGTGGAACACCCTTCCGGACAACTTTAATCTGTAAAAATTTAAATGCAAATGTCAATCGCTGTCTACTGTCCTCCTGATTAGTCTTTCCTCTTCTCTTAATGTTTCTGTTCCTAATTCTTCCACACCCTGTAACCCCTTGTGCTTTAGTGGCTTTATTACCTTGCATGGGGTGATATCGATTTAAAAAAAAAAAAAAAAAAGTACCTGACTCCTCCTGCAATCCTCTACCTTTACAAGATCCAGATCAGGCCGAAAATGGAGTACTGTTGCCATATTTGGGTGGGAACTGCCCAGTCCTCACTTTCCAGTCTCAAAAGCGTCCCGAAGTCCTTGTCAGTGACGAATTATTTTTCACCCTCTAACCTCTCTCTCTCTCTCTCTCTTTCTCTCTCTCTCTTTCTCTTTCTCTCTCTCTTTCTTTCTCTCTTTCTCTCCCCCTCTCTCTCTCCCCCTTCCTCCCTCTCTCTCTCTCCGTCTCTCTCTTTCTCCTCTCCCCTCTCTCCCCTCTCCCCCCTCTCCCCCCTCCCTCTCTCTCAATCTCTCCCTCTCTCTCCCTCTCCCCTCTCTCTCCTCCTCCCTCTCTCTCCCCGTCTCTCTCTTTCTCTCTCTCCCCTCTCTCTCTCCCCTCCCTCCCCCTCTCTCTCTCCGTCTCTCTCTCTCTCTCTCTCTCTCAAGGCAGTATGTGGCGAGCCTCTTGCTACACTATTGCTGCTACCATGGAAAGTGCTCGGACGAACTACATCCCTTGATCCCGCCAGGTCTAACCTTCACAGCTAAGATCCACCCTGCCACTTACTTAGTAGCTAATCACCCACATTCCCTTTGTAATTCCATCAGTGAGAAATAAGTTCCACTCAAATAGCTTCTTCTTCCCACAAGCCACTGCTCTGTGAAACAGACTTCCAAAAAGATGTTTCCCCAGTCACTACAAACTTAACCTGTTCAAGTCTAGAGTCAACTGTTATCTTCCCTTCCTAATCATATAAACTGCCCCTTAATGTAACCTTCTACCTCAAGTGGCCCCAGGCCTTGTACAGGGTGAACTTTATTGTAAAAAAACTAATAATTATAATTATTTCATATGAACAATACTCAAGTTGAATAACAGCAACCAAATAAGTTAACTTTCCAATAAAATATTATAAGCTGAAATTGACAGGGTATATTCATCATAAATATATCCTGAAGGTTTTTATCAGCACTGATTAGTACCCCTTCTATTGTGAAGATATTGACGTACACTGTCTGATATTTTTTTGTGCATGTAAAATATTCATACAGGTATCAGCTACTGAGATAAATAGAATATATATCTGACTGCAAACAGTTACTGCTATTAAGTATAAAATGTTAGTTTGCAAACTTACTATACATGGCTTGTGTGATAAGTATTATATTTTTGTGGTTATTACACTTGTTTTCAGTTAGTTTTCATTGTTTTGTGATGTAGTTTCACATTTCTGCAATTTCAAATGTTGTATTCTCAATATTCAAAAACTTTATACCTTGTTCCTCTTTTGAGCTTATATGTTTTTTTAGGATCTTTTTCCAATCTTTAAATATTTGAAATTAAAAAATATTAGGCAGTATGTCAACTGTTATCTTCCCTTCCTAACCATATAAACTACCCCTTAATGTAACATTCTACCTCAAGTGGCCCCCAGGCCTTGTACAGGGTGAACTAAAAAATAAATAAATAAACATTACGCTAAGCGCCTAATTATTTTAGATATTTACATCGCATTCAAGGAATAACAGTGTTAGCATCTTTAGGTGTTCTAGTGTGTGTGTATGTGTGTCATGTGTGTGACCTTGCTAGTTGTTTGGTGCAATCTGATGGACTCCTTAATAAGATACAAAAATCACTCAAATGTCATATCTGACATTAAATCGCAGCTCGTTGGTAGAAACAAATAACTTATAAATAATATCTTGAACGCTTAGATGAAGCATTGACAGCCATTATTAATTTCTGACTAGTGTTTATTTCGTTTTAATTCCAATTACTTTTCACCACAATTATCCGGAACGTCAGAGCTATGGCCATTAGTAAAACTAAATATATGCTGCAGCAAACGTATTTCTGACACGTGTTGTTTACTGGTGACTGTAAAGTAACGACTTGGGTAGTTGCTATAAAATGCATCTGAACTTAACATGAAAGAAATGTTATTTTAAAAAATTAACAATGAAAGTCTATTGTTATACCAAGTGGATTTGATAAATTATATGGAAGTTGATTTATTACAACAGCCTTCGATTGATGTACTGATATCAACTTAAAACCATGTCTTATATAATTGCTAGAGAAACTGTCACTTGTTAGACAAAGTACACAATGGAACACGTAACGACACACGGTAAAAGACTAAGAAATGCCAAGTGCAAACATAATTTAATGGTCATCGCTAATGGTGAGATTAATCGTTACCTTACAACAAACTTTCGGCATTCATTGACCGATCATCCTGTGTATGACGATAAACTTCGTCCGGCAGCAAGGCCTTTGATCGGAGGTGGGGGTTGACGAGTGTGGAACCATCTCTTCAATTTCATTGTACTCAGCTCCACCCTGACCCGGGGTGATATCACCTGTTACTATTTCAGCTATGGCAAATAGTTAACCGTAAAACTGAGGGTCAAAACAGCTCGAAAGTATAAAAATACATTTTTATAGTAAAAATACCACCATTTTCATTTTCATAGTAAAAAATAATTTACAGCAATACATTTTTGAAAAAATAAAGATAATAACAGCAACATGTATTTATAACGAAAAAATATTACTTTAAAGAAAAAATACCAGCAATACATTTTCATTTTTGAAAAAAATACCAGCAATACATTTTCATTTTTGATAAAAAAATACCAGCATTTTCATTTTCATAGTAAAAAATAATTCACAATACATTTTTGTAAAAAGAAATATATTACCAGAAATATTTTTTGTAACGAAAAAATATTACCAGCAATAGATTTTTGAAAAACATTACCAACAATACATTTTCATAGTAAAAAATAATTTACAGCAATACATTTTTGTAAAAAGAAAGATAACAGCAACATATTTTTGCAACGAAAAATATTACCAGCAATATCTTTTTTTTAAAAAATTACTAATGTTCCCAAGAAAATTTAATTTCGGCTTTAAATGACCCATAAGGAGTTGTTATAGCGCTAAGCAAACTAAATTCACTAACCGAATTGTTAGCGTTACTGTCGGCTGAAGTTTTAAAAAATCTTTTACTTAAAACAGATTTTTTTAAAATAAATCGGCTTCTTAAGTCTACTGTTATCGTTTTTGCTAGAACTTATTAGAGTTTAACATTTTGTTTAAGGTAGTGTGAATACTCGATATCTTGATTGTATCATTATTTTCCCGCCTAGCTACATTTTCCCGCCTAGCTACATTTTCCCGCCTAGCTACATGTACTATCCAATTTGGTTGTTGCTGTTTTGGAAAATCTTTTTTTTCTTATTTGGTAATGTTCTTCGTTTGCGATTCTGTAAGACCAATCCATAAGATCTGATAAAGAAGTTCCTTTAATACTTAGATGATATATTTGCTTCAAGGTACTTTTAATGATTGATCTGAGAAAGTGGTTTTATGTAGCTAATATTTTAGACATTTCTGAACACATCGGGTGCTATAAATGACATCCATATGAGATTCTAGATCTGGCGAGGCTATTTAAGAATTCAACTTGGATTGTTTCTATAGAGATCATAGTTTAGACATTTCTGAGCAAGTTGCCATGCATGAAGTCCAGATGAGAATCTAGATCATTTCTGTTGTTTAAAGTATAATATTTTGGTTTTGCACTATCTTGCAGATGGCTGAGTAGCCTATCCTAAGTTCAATTTCCTTATCTCTAATGATATATATTTGCTAATTTTAATACCAACTTATTCTTCAACCAGTCTATACTTTTGATTGGCGCCAATATCCACGAAATGTCTGAACAGGAAGAAGACGGGCTTTAAATTTCGTCGTCTCAATACAACGTAGCCGATTCTTTATAAAACTAAATTATCTGGAAGAGGATTGGTGGGGGATCTGTTATTTGTTGTTTATTGATAAGGGTAATCTTAATTCACCGCTTGATTTTATTATGACAGAGCTTATTTGAACTCATACTAGTTAAAACTTTATAGATAATATCCTACTAGTAATCACATAGTTCTACGCTAATGCGTGTATTTGAAATGAACTCTGCACTTAACCTCGTCGCTACTACCCTGATTTTTAAGTTCCTTTCATAGTTAAAAGATGAAATAAAAATAATTTTAAATAAAAGTGAGTGTCATAAAACATGCACCGAATGAACTTGAGAAACATTTCAGCGCTAGCCTCCCACGGAGGTGCTCTCAACTGTCAAAATTTAACGCGTTATACAGTATGTACGAATATAATTTCGAGTCGTAACGACTATTTCGTGTTGTTTATTTTTGACTAATAGTTTCGCATAGGCGATTTCCTAGCCACACTTATATTTTATCATTCTGTTGTGTGGAACCGACTCCCAAGTGGATGTTTCCCCGATCATTACAATCTTTACCTGTTCAAGGCTAGGGTTAACTGTTATCTTCCATTTCTATCTGCACAAATTGCCTCTTAATGTAACCCTTTACCTCGAGTGGCCTCCAAGCCTTGTAAAGGGTAAACCTTACTGTAAAAAAATTCAAACGTTTTTAACATCAATAATAGTAAAATGGTCTTATATACAAGGTATCCAAAAAGTCCTTATAGTTTTTGTTTTATTATAAGGAAAAAAGTATGCAGCAAATTTGATATAGCGTTACTTATCAGTTTTAAGCTCAAATGCCACCTTTAAACCAACATATATATATATATATATATATATATATATATATATATATATATAAATATTATTTCTGTGGATACTGTTATTTGAAATATAGGCCCCGTTTTTATTTTTATTTTAAACAGTATATACTACGTCTATCGGATTATTACGGTTTTACACACTGTTTAGAACAGAAAACAGAACGTCTATTTCGAATACGAGTATCCACTATAATAAAATGTCTATATTTCTGAGATGAGGTATTATGTACACTATTTAAATTGTTCGGACTATCGTTCTAATCTTTGTTGCCATATTTATCACAACGTTTCGGCTGTTGCACGCCCGGTCTTCTTCGAATGGTTGGAATCACCATCCATTCAATATATATATATATATATATATATATATATATATATATATATATATATATATCCACTAGACGTGGCACGTGGAACTAGAACAGTCCACCCCAGCGAAATAAAGGGTTCAGTTCGATATTCCAACCAACTGAAGAAGGCCGGAGCGTACAACGGCCAAAACGATAGTCAAAGATGAAGACGATAGTCCGAATAATGTAAATAGTGCACTATAATAAAGTTTGAAGTAATAAAAATCATGAATTAAAATAAATTGTCCAGAAAAGAAAGCTCTTGTTCGAACACAAGAAAAATTAAATAAAAAAAGCTTAACCGTAGTACCTTGTCTGTCGTTTTTTAATGAAACATGCATAAACGAAGGATTGCTGCAACTATATATATATATATATATATATATATATATATATATATATATATGAATAAAAACTACAAACAGTTTTTCCTCTAGTCATTTTTATTAATTTTGTTCTTTTACAGATCCACTGTATCT